TGGCCATTAGGTTATAAGAATCTTCCCCGGGGGCTCCTGGAAGGCTCAGTTGGTTAATGTCTCTTTTTTTAAAGAAATTTTCTAATGTTTGTTTATTTTTGAGACAGAGAATGAGCGGGGGAGGGACAGAGAGAGAGGAAGACATAGAATCAGAAGCAGGCTCCAGGCTCCAAGCTGTCAGCCCAGAGCCGGACGTGGGGCTCGAGCCTATGAACTGTGAGATCACAACCCTTTCTTTTTTTTTTTTTTAATATTTTTATTTATTTCTAAGAGAGAGAGAGACAGCGTGAGCAGAGGAGGGTCAGAGAGAGAGGGAGTCACAGACTGAAACAGGCTCCAGGCTCTGAGCTGGCAGTCAGCACAGAGCCCCAAGCGGGCCTCGAACCCATGAACCGCGAGATCATGACCTAAGCAAAAGTCGGACGCTTAACCGACTAAGCCACCCAGGCGCCCCTCGCTTTCCCTCTCTGATGGATGGATTCGGGATGTAGTGAGGCTCCATGCCGTGGCAGAACCGCAAAGGCGGAAGGACTTTGGGTGGATTAAAAACTGCCAGGAATACCTGATCCGACCCTTGTGTGAGTGAGAAACAAATCTGCTTTGCGTGGGGCCGCTGGGCCGATGCGGCATATTTGTTACAGCATCTGGCGCTTCCAAACCCGATGCGCTGGTCCTCAGTGAGGTAATATATTTTAAAAACTCATGCCAAGTATGAAGCGTTGTCCCTTCCCGGTAGATGACGGATGTTCTTGCACGTGTTAGATATTCAGACCAACCCAGGCAGGGGAGGAGTAGGGCCCGTTAGTAACGGCGTTTCTTGTATGTATTTTTTTTTTCACTTGACACTTTTGCTTTCCATCGAAGTTTAAACCAAACACTGTCACCCTCCCCATTCCCCAGGGCTGCAGGTTACGGTCCAACAGGCTGAGCACTGCACACCTCTGGGGGGGGGGGGGGGGCTTGACAGTGTTCAGAGTGATTTGTTGCCCCTGCGGTTGTGCAGTGCGCAACAGGAGCAACCATCCACAGACCCTCTGCTCCGCGCCTCCAGTTAGAGAAAAGCCGGGACCAGGAGAAGTGACAAACACCATTTCATTTCTTCCTAATCCTCCTGTTCAGCTCTAAGAGGACAGGGTGCTTTGCCTGGTTCATTCACGGCTGTGTTCCCAGTGGGCGCCCCATGTGCGGAAAGAATCATTTGCAGTGTTGCTCAAGGAAACACCTTCCTGCAGCCCTGGAAATAATCGGAAACTTCTGTTTCCCAGCCAGCTGTTGGCACCAGACCCCTAAAGAAACCAAGGAGACTCTCAGAATGGGCAGAACAAATGCTCTCGTTCCCTTAATACCTTGCTGTGTCTAGTTCCGTGCCTGACCCCCCGCCAGCTGAGGCCCCCGTCTTAGAGGCTTGAAGCATTAAATCGTCACTTGAGAAGGCCGAGGACAGCCTGTTACGAGAGAACGAGTACACAATGCTGATGGACACTGCGTCCAGCGCAAAGTGCAGCCTGGCACGGTGACAACGACTCACTGTGTCCCCGCGGCCCGGGGAGGACAGGGCCTGACATGGAGAGTGTGGCCCAGGGCTCTGGACTGCGAGCTCACCACAGATTCCACTGTGCCATGTCCTTCTCTGCCCATGGCAGGCACACGGCCACCCTGCAGCGCTGATTACCCAGCGCAGTGTTTTTCTATCCAGGGCAGAGAGTGCTTTCCTTTTTACTCGTGAGCAACTGGGCGATATGCCCTGCTCCTTCCAAAACAAAGCAAACAAACAAACAAAAACACAAAAAAGCACAAAAAACAAAACACACACACACACACACACACACACACACACACAACATTTGCAAGCGGAACTCCTACCCACCCGCGGGAAAACGTACGCCTGACTCTGACAGAGCACCTGTGCTGGGTCCCAGGCACCGCTTCACACACATCACCTGTGCTGTCTCCTCTATGCCTGGTCACACTCCCCTGAACCAGACAGATTGTGCCCCACTTTACCTTCGGTAAAACCAGGAGAGCTTCACAAGATCGTACTACTAGCAAACGCGCCTCGAGAGCTGAGTGCATGCTACGCTGGCCCTTTTCAAATGCTCTTCCGGGCTGATTAATTACTGCTCACAGCAGTGCAAACTCAGAGGTCACGTCGCTGTGCCCATTTTACAGATTGGGAAATGGAGGTGCCGTTACGCAGGCGGTGAAACAGACGGGACTCAGAGACGGTTGGTCGGAGCCAGAGCCCATAAACTTAATCCAATTCTGAGGCTGGGGTTTTCATCAGCCCTGATTGGTCCCTCTCAGGCCCCGTGCCTGGAGCATAGTTGAGCCATTTTTTGGTTTGTTTTTTGTTTGTTTGTTTGTTTTTTAACAAACTCAAAACTTTCCAGAAATCTGGCATGTAAATGAGTGACACAGGGCTAGGAGACTGGAAACTTCCTATTGTTCCTGAGACAGGGGGCCTGTTCAGTGTTCACTTAGTTGTTCTTTATCAGTTAAAGACGTGGATACCAGAAATATTTTATTCTCTTGTTAATTGAGCCAGAAATCAAGTATCTTCGACACGGAGGCAGAATCTGCATTCAGGGGCCAGCTTCCTTCCAAAACTGTTTGCCTTGGGAACACACTTGGGCTTTCTACCACCATGCTCAGCATCGCCCGTGACCTGTACTTCCCAAGGTCACGGGCAAGAATGTTAGACGCCGTCTTTTAACTTCTCAAGTTCTTGCTTCTTCCATTAAAAAAAAAAAAAAAAAAGGTTAAGAAATGTGAAGCTTTTCCAAACGCGAACCTCCCTTCCAGCAAATGGCCTTCGAAGGCAGATGGGGCGGCTTGCGGGTCTGGCTGTGATGTCTGGCCCTGGCCGCGGTTCCACAAGTAGAATTAAGGAAGCAGACAACATGCCCGAGATTTATGGATCCCATTGCTTTTTATGCCATTGATGCCTCACATGTGTTCCCTCCGACTCGCCCGACAGGGAACACCACATCACAGGGTTTGTGGGAGTTGAAGAAAACTCTCACTGACTTCCTGAAAATGGTCCCTGTGGGACGCACCCTTGGGGAGAGGCTGTCTCCGGCTGACCCCTCCGGTGCACTTGGCCGTCGATGCCGGGAATGGGGAGGGGGTCCAGGCGCGGATGCTCAGAAGGGCACACCGGGCAGCACGTATCTGGCACATTTCAGCAACTGTTTCATAAGTGCAAGTAATACAAATGTGGATGTAAAAGAGTGGCTCCCACAGGCAGCTCTGCTTGTTGGAACCCCACGCCCCCAGCCCTGCTTCCCGAATCTTCATGAAGGAGCATCTGGCAGAGGCCAGGAGTCTGCGTTTAACCATCTCTCTGAGGAATCGTGTTCAGCCACCTTGGTAAACAATCGTGACATCTGACAAAGCACTGATCTCGAAATGACAGGGACGGGTGCCTGGGTGGCTCGATCGGTCCAGTGTCCGACTTCGGCTCAGGTCATGATCTCACAGTTCGTGGGTTCGAGCCCCGCGTCCGGCTCTGTGCTGACAGCTCGGAGCCTGGAGCCTTCTTTGGATTCTGTGTCTCCCTCTCTCTCTGCCCCTCCCCCACTCATCCTCTGTCTCTCTTTCTCTCAAGAATACACTAACTGTGGCTCCCAGGAGACACTGGCTGCTCAAGGCCACACACACAGCCAGTGGGTAAGGGAGCTGGGGCTGGGGGCGCAGAAGAACTTGACTTCACTTGATCTCTTCTTTGATCGAAATAAAGCAGGCATTCTTTTTTTTTTTTTTTAATTTTTTTTTAATGTTTTCATTTATTTCTAGGAGAGAGAGAGAGAGACAGCGTGAGCGGGGGAGGGTCAGAGAGAGAGGGAGTCACAGACTGAAACAGGCTCCAGGCTCCGAGCTGGCAGTCAGCACAGAGCCCGACGCGGGCTTGAACCCACAAACCGCGAGATCATGACCTAAGTGAAAGTCGGACGCTTAACCGACTAAGCCACCCAGGCACCCCCGAAGCAGGCATTCTTATTCTGATTTTCCTAAAAAGGAAATTGAGGCTGAAAAGAGTCCGGAGGTCTGTACTACTGCCTGTGGTTTTGCTGGAAGAACCTGCCATCGACCTGATGGCCTGGAGCAACAGAGATTTGTTTGCTCAGAGTTTTGGAGCCCGGAAGTCTGAAGTCAGTGTCACTGGGCAGAAACGGAAGTGTAGGTAGAGCCGGACATCCTCTGAAAGCTTTGGAGGAAGAATCCGTTCCTTGCCTCTTCCAGCTTCTGAGGGTTCCGAGCCTTTCACGGCTGCCGGCCGCGTGCCTTCCGTCTATGCTTCGGCCTCACGTGGCCTTCTCGGTCCATCTCCAGCCTCCCTCATCCCTCTCTCATAAGGGCTCTTGTCTTTGGATTTGGGGCCCACCCAGATCATCCAGGGTGATCTTATTACAAGATCCTGACTTAATTACATCTGCAAAGACCTGTTCCCAAATGTCACATTTCCAGATGCTGGGTGGACATATTTTTGGAGGGACCATCATCTGACCAATGGCGACGTCCCATAGCTAGGGGGTGGGGAGGGGCTGCTCAACCTCATCTTCCCCCAGTCCAGCAGGTAGTGCCCAAGATTCTGTCAGTGTTGCACAATAGAAATGGAGATCGGCTTAAGCTTTGTGGGGGGTTGTGGGGTAGGAGGAGGGAGCAAGCAGGTGATGTTATCGTCCCTGTAACTGAAAAGGCCAAAGGTAGATCTTCCTGGTTTGAAGCACGGCTCGTGCTTTGTGGTCAGGGGCTAACCCATCCCTTGCACAGGCTTCCTCCACCCAATAGGTAGGATAAATTCTAAGAGCTCAGCACCCACATCTTTCCAGTTGAGTCAGTGGAAAGTAGCATTCCTTTCCATTAACTCAAGAGCTGAGATCATTTCTATGAAGAGCTCTGAGCCCTCGTGTTGGCCTTATCATGTCAGCGCCCCCAAATCGATCACTAGGGCCCAGAGATCATTTATTCGGGAGCAATAATGAATACATACTGTGTACCTTCTATGTGTCAGGAACTCTTCAAGGTGTATGGAGATGTACCTGTGAACAGAAGACAAAAACCTAAACTCACAGAGCTTATATTCTACAGGAAAATAGGGACCAGTAGTGTACAAACAAATAAACAAAAAGCTACAGTTCTATTCCAGATTGAGCTGAGTGCCGAGAAACAAATTAGTTTAGGGCAATGTGCTAAAGAATGCCCAGGGTGGGGGGAGGGCTCCTTTAGCCCGTGTGGTCAGGTAAGACTTCTCTGAAGAGGTGATATAGGAGGGATAAATCAAATGATGAGAGGCCACATGAAGATTTGTGGAGGACCCTCCTAAGCAGAAATAGCAGGTGCAAAGGCACTGGGGTAGGAATGGGCTTAGAGGAACAGAGAGCTGGGCAGTATAGACCAGCTGCAGCGCATGAGCAGGAGAGAATAGGAGATGCAGCGCATAAGTGGTGAATTCCAAAAGTCAGATTTCTAAGTCCTCTGCTCTTACCTCTTCCCTATCCATCCATGCCCAGGGGAGGATTCGCTTATCGCCAAGAAAGGATTTCCTGTACACTGTTGCTCCACTCACTGCACAGCTAGAAGACTTTCTTTGAGCCACTGCAGTATTTAAAATAGCACATTATCTACCTGGTACGTGCCCTCTGCTCCTCCAAGAACAATAGGGTTCAAGTGCAGAATTAAATCCAGGGGTAACTGACCCTGCAAGGTCCCACTGGATCTTCATCTGAACTCAAACTTAGGCCCAAGAGCTTTGGCAAAGCTTGTGTGGCCGGGAGTGGGGGAGTCGGCGAACTTCGTTTCCCCTTTTCTTTTTCACTTTCATACGCCTCTGGGTTGATGTTTCCTGGCCAAGGTCAGAGGTACTAAAATACCACAAGAAAGAAGACCTTTGAAGTGATCATCTGTTCGGCCAAGGAGGAGGCGGTGGGGCCCAATGGCTCACCCAGGAATGTAACCTTCTGGAGCCTTGGACGGAGCACCTCGGAGGCCCCAAGAGATGCGTGGAAAGCCCTGGAGTTGGTTTGGAAAAACATCTGAACTTCTGGTTGGGGATCTGAGCCCAGGAGCCTTCCTTTGTTCTCAGCCAATCCGTGGAAGCTGCCTGTCCAAGGCCTGAGCTGGCTAGACCACCGCCTCCAATTTGGGGAATCTTACAGACCAGATGCTGACTTGCCCTTTCAGAATATACCTAGGAAGTGCTTGTTCCCTGGTTCAGTGATGTAGACAAGAGTATTTGACCGTGGGAATGACTGATATGGGAATGCGGTGTTTGCGCTGGTGTCTTTCACTAGACGTTTGCCACTCCTAGATGTGGTTCATTGACCAGAACCATCAACATCCCCTGGCAGAAGGTTAGAAATGCAGACTCTCGGGGCGCCTGGGTGGCTCAGTTAAGCATCTGACTTCGGCTCCGGTCATGATCTCACGGTCAGTGAGTTCGAGCCTCACGTCGGGTGCCGTGCTGACAGCTCAGAGCCTGGAGCCTCCTTCGGATTCTGTGTCTCCCTCTCTCTCTGTCCCTCCCCTGCTCTCACTCTCTGTTCTCTCTGTCTCTTGGAAATGAATAAACGGTGAAGAAAAAAAAAAAAAACAAAGAAATGCAGACTCTTGGGTCCTGCCCCGGACCTACTGAATCAGAATCTGCAATTTAACAGGATCCCAATTAATTTGCATGCACATTCGAGTTTACGAGGAGCAGCCCTGGACAGCTTGGTCAAATACAGAGAGTGCGGTCACTCCTTTCTGTTGTGTCTACGGCAGGCATCCGTAATCAATCACAGAGTTGTTTTCTTTTGAATTTCGAGTCTTCTCACGCCACGGTTCTAGGCAGCACTAGCCACTCGATGGGAGCTGGCTCAAAGATTACATCTACCTTCTCCATGAGGGTTAACCCTCGAAAAGAGCTCTGTGGCACTTTTATTTTCACCCCCATTTCCCCAGTGCCGGGCATAGCAACAGGAATGTCATAGGTGCCAGGTAAATGTTTGTGGAATGACTCTATCTTCCCCGCAGCGTTTTTTTCCCCCGTGGCACTTGCTGTACTTTAGTCCACATCCTCAGAAAACTCACTTCCCCTGGACATCGGGGCGGCTCAGCATCTCTTCTAGGTGTTGAGTTTTGTTGTCAAAAGTTACGTAGGGGGAAGTTGAAATGAGTTGGTAAAGATGTTGGGAGCGCAAGGAGACACGTGGAAAGCCGGCTGGCTGGCACGTGGACCTCAACCCGCATGCGATCTCTCCAGGACGCATTGCCTGGCCACCCAGCTCTAAAAGATGGCAGCCACGTGAACCAGGCTGCGTGCAGAGGTGGGGAGCGGGGAGTGGGGAGGGAAGGAAGGAACGGTCAGACTGACAGGACTCCAAAGACAGAGCAATAATGATTATAAATAGCATCCTTTTGACGGCCGTTTGATGTACTGTCCAAGGCCAGGTGGAAAATCTTTCCTCCCCTGCCCCCCCCGCCCCCCCACCATCGCCTTCCCCTCATTTTTCAATAAAGATTCTGAGTCCAGTCAGTTGCTTGTCTGGAGCATTTGTTTCCCATTAGAATACCTTTTGCGATTTCGGTGTGTTATGCTAGATAATTGCTTTAATAACAAACTGAGGAAAGACTTTTGAACATTTTAGGAAGTAGGGTTTTTTTTTTCTTCAATGAAAAATCTAACAGACACTGACAGAGGGCTTAAGGATAGTCGGGGGAGGGGGGAAGGTTGTGGGGGAGGGGGGGTGAAGGTTGTGGGGGAGGGGAGGAGGTGCCCGAATTTATCTTCCAGCAGCTGTAGGTGGTCAGCTACCAGGGTCCTTTCCCCACTGCAGGGAGAGACCCATCAGGGACCAGACGCCCGTGAGCACAGAGACAAAGCCTCACTATCTGGCAGGCTTGGGGGGGATGAGCATGAAGCAACATCCTTCTTGCGGTTAATAGGGAGAGAACTCCAGAGGTGGGCATCGGCTTGAGTACACAGAGGAAAATTCCGCATGTCCCCACGGAGTTTGCACCTTGTGCGCAAGAGTACTCAGAATACCCCGTGTGTGAGTACTTCGTTAAAAACAAACACTAACCGGCCTGATCAGGGAAAATAGCCATTGCATCTAGACGCAAGAGCGCTACATCCCGCACTTAATGTACTTTGTCTTATTTAATTCCCTCGCAACACTTTGCCAGATAAACACATCAATAATGGATGACACTTATATATAGTGCTTACGACTCCGTGCTTCACACCGCTCTCAACCTTTTACATATATTAATGCGCGTAAACTTTGCAATCAGCCTGTAAGGTCAGTATGACTTTTATTTCTGTTCAGCAGATCGGGAGACGGAGGCACGGACAGGGCATGGGCAAAGTGAAGACAGCACGAAAAGGGTGGAGAGTGGCCTTGGATGTTGGGAATCTGACTCCAGGATCTGCCTGGAGGGTTTCCAGTTTAGCCCGTGAACGTGCTGGTCTCATTCGTAAGTGGGGAACTCTTACATCGGGTTACTGCGTATTGGCCCACTGGTGTCCAAAGCACTAAACAGGGCTTATCAGTGCTCGAGTGTCAGGCCCCGAGCTAAGGTCTCTGTGTGGATAATGAGGTGAGGGTTGGCAGGGGCCGGGCTATTGCCCAGTGAGCACTAGTGATGTTCTGACCAGGAAGTACAATGCAGACAGGTGACCGGATTCTAAGTACAGTAGGAGGCACACTCCATAGACTCAGCAGTTGATCAGACAGACACTCAGACATGGGGGCATGGCGTGCCCGTCATGGAGATAAAATGGCAACGCTTGACCTCTGGGGAAAAAGTATTTCAGATAGGACCCCTCGTCTGGCCGCTCCAGGAAGACCTGGGTGGCAAGTGGGTTTCGTTTCTTCTGTCAGCTCGGGGAGAACGTAAGCAGCTTGAGGGCAGGGCTGGCTTTTTATCCAAGGCTGCATCGCACTGCATCTAGAGCAGTGCCTGGTGCATTGGACACCCTCAGTTGAGAGCTGGTGAGTAAATCAGCAGGTAGTTGTCTCAAGCCTAGAGGCTGCATCTGGACTCGTAGGGAAAGACCACAGGGACCAGTTAACATCCACAATGGGTGTGGACTGGGGCATACAAGGTGCACAGTGCCCACCCTGTGTCCCACGGAGGCCTTTATCTGTTCTTTTGTTCACTCATCGGTTTCATCATTTATTCACCTATTTGGCGCACATTTATTGAGCACCTACTATGTGCTGGGTGTCTGGGCAAAGCTCTGGGAATAAGGCATTGAAAGCAAGCCATTGTCTCTCTAAACTGGTACAAGTGAAGAATCCAGAGTCAACTGCATGAAGTCATTCGGTCCCATTAGTGCCTGAAAGCAGCAGAGTGCCTCTGAGGAAGAGGCAGTACTTGGAGCTTCCGCGAGCAACGGTCCTCAAGTTTTTCGGACCATTTCCCTGCGTTCCTTCCACAAAGGCAAGTAGATTTACATGCAGAACTGGAAAGGCGCCAAGAATCTTGTTTGATGCCTTCAACTGCTCCTCATTGACTCTGCCGTGCTGCTGAAGTTCAGAGCGAGTCAGTTTGCCCCACTGTAGAATGGACTCGTGTATATGCGTTAGAAGAGCTCGGGACACCCGGGCCTGGGCGTCTCAGGGGCCCCAGAAACTGCCACCCTGCCTGTGATAAATGATCGTAATAACTGTACTATTTGGACCGCCCTCAAGTTTTCAAAGAAAGTGGCCGCCCCTTAATTAGCTCACCACCCCTGCAGCGGAGAAAGCACGGTTATTATCCCACGTTTACAGCCCCAGAGGCTCAGAGAGGTTCAGGAACATGCGCAGAGCCACCAAGGAAAACTGAGATCATCGGACAACTGATTTGGGAAAGACCTCGGAAACATGGATGGACGAGTAGACATAGAATATCAAGATAAACATGTATGAGTGTGAGTGTGTGTGTGTGTGAGTGTGTGTGTGTGTGTGTGTGTGTGTGTGAGGGTTAAGGTTCTCCAGAGGAACAGAACTTATAGGGTATATAGATAAAGCCATAGACATAGATGGTATAGATGTAGGTATAAACGTAGGTCTAGTATAGATATCAACAGGTGTAAGTATAGGTGTGAGTAGGTATAGATAGGTATGGGCATATAGAGATTTCGATGGCATACATACCATATAGGAATAGATATACGTAGATCCAGATACAGTTATAGGCATAGTTATACGTATACAGGTATCGGTACAGATATAAACAGGTACAGGAAGCAGTACACGTGACAGACAGAGATCTGAAAAGAGATTTACAGAACCGGAAGCTGATAAATCCCACCGTCTGCTGTCTGCAAGCTGGAGGCCCAGGAGAGAAGGTTGTGTCATTCAGTCCAGGCCCCTAGGCCTGAGAATTGGGTGGGCGGTGTATACCTGGATCTGAGTCCAAGGTCTGAAGACCCAAGAGCCATGAGTACCAAGGTCCAAGGGCAGGAGAAGATGGGTGTCCCAGCAGCTGTCCTTTCTCCCCACGTGCCCAAGGCCTATGCCAGGGATTTCCAGACTTTGGTGCTCCCGAGGGCCACTTGGGGAGCTGGTTGCCCCCCACCCCGTGTCCCACCCCCCCAGAGATTTGGACTCAGCGAGGTGGGGGCAGGACACAGGTATCTGGATTCCAACAAGCAGCTAGCCTACGGAGCACACTTTCAAAAAGATCATACGTAACATGTGAGCGTGAAGCCAGAACTCACCTCTGATGGAAGAGTCAAGGTTGGATCGGAGCAGACTAAGTTCTTGGGCAAAAAGGCCAAGTCCTTGGGATGTCCTGGAGACGAATATGCCCATTTCCACACTTCCTTGCGTTTGAAGTCCTGCCTTCCATCACCAGTGGGACCTGAAGAAGCCACACCCAGGGATTTTTTTTTTTGCCTTCACGATATTGTTCTCCATCATGAAGTCAAGTTTCGGGGAGTGTGGGGGGCAGAAGGCAGAGTGGGGCGGGGAGGTCAAGAGGAAGAGGGAGCAGCCCTTCCCACCCATGATGTATGAAATGTGTACATGCATCCGGTCAATTATCTAGTTGTCTACAGCTCAGTGGGGTGCATGGAGTTGGCTTCGGAGCCAGGAGGGTGTGTGTTCTAATCTCGGCACTGCCCCATCTGGGCTATGGGACCTTGGGCAGTAGATATAAACACTCTAAACCTCAATGTCCACATCTGCAAAATGGGGGAGTTCTAGAACCCACCTCAGAGGACTATTGTGAGGGTCAATTATCCTAACAACCTATATCGAGTAACGTCACCAGGCCAGGCACTGTTCTAGGTTCTGGAGACACGACCACAGCCCGCACGAGCAAAAACCCTGCCCTCTCCGGACACGCTCCAGTGGGTGTGGGCGAAGTTCTTGGCACAAGCTGTCCGCGGGCATCCCTCTCCCCTGTGTCACAGACAGGGACCGCGAGGCTAGGATGGGTCGGATCACTTAGTCCCCATGACACAGCTGGGGAGAATCTATGCTGTGCTTTGATTTTGGTCTCTGCTCCCTTGTGAGGCTCCTGGTCTCCAGACTCTCCTTCGGTCTGGGGGGCAGGCAGGGGCCGAGGCGGAGTGCAGAACAGTCCATGTTCAGGAAGAGCCTGGGTGGGGAGAGAAGAAAAGCTCAGGCTGGCTTGGCCCACGATGCTGTTGCTCTTACAAAGCGTGTTGTCTCTTCCTTTCCCTGGGAGACTTGGGGTTAATCAAGAAACTCAAACATGGATGACCCAAGATTGAACTAGTCTGGCAAGGAATAGTACAAGGAAGAGATTGGCCAAGAGCTTGAACCCATTCCAACCAACAAGGGTATTTCTTGGGCCCGTGCCAAGGTGCGCCAACCCGGGGAGCCTCTATAAAGTGGAGTCTGGAGGAGGAAGGAGAGAAACGGGAAGCTTATTTCTGATGCTGGCACTCTCGAAGACGAGAAAGAACCTGCCTATTCTTAGCTGCGTCTGGGGGCTCTGCGAAAGCTCTCCTGCTGAATTATAGACAAGGCGAGCATTCATTAACTCTGGCCGCTTGAAACCCGGCTGGTAAGCAGATTCCAAGAGATGTTATCTGGAAGGTGCATCACTGTGTGTACACATCTCAGAGGTCAGGACCCAACACAGAGTTTGAACTTTAAAGGGCCTGAGTGTGTTTATCAAGGCATGGATATTTAGGCCCGGGCGCTGGGTGTTGGGTAATCTGGAGATCGCTTTGGAAGGCTGCTCAGAACAAATGCCGACTGCCTTCTGAGGCCTGGGAGAGGCTCCAGGATAGTGTCGAAAGAATCTGCTAACGTGGTAGGTTCTGGCTTTGTATCATTAGGGTATCTTCAGGCAGGTGCCTTCAAATGCAAAACCTAACTGCTTCGTGAGAATCTCCTAATGAAATGTTGGGAGATCTTGTTTAAGGTATATTTGATTGGGAGGCGAGGAATTGGAGGGGAGGGAGACGCCTGAGGACCTGGGTAACAAACTCCCACATGGTGTTGATCTTGTTTGCTCCCGCCCATACTTTCCGCAGCAAGCTTCCAGAGACTTCTGACCTCTTAGTGCCGTATTGCTTTTCATACTATACGACTGGAAAACCCACTTGGGTCCGGTAGGATCGTGTTTAGCTGCAAGTAACAGAACGTCCAGCTTCAGCGGCTTAGATGGGGGATCTCAAAGCTAACGGCTAAAAATGTCCAGGGCAATTTGAGTAGCTCACCGACCCAGGGTCTTCCACTTCTCCTCCCTTGATTTTCGTGCTTGCAGCCCCATGAATGCAAAACACCTCTTGTGCCTTCAAGCTGCACGTCCACATTCCAGGTCTGGGGGAACATTCCAGAAAGAATGAGCAAACGGCAAGCTTTTTCAGAGACCTTCAGCTTATGCCACATTAGTCAGCACTGAGTGAGGTGGCTGTCCCTGGTTCCCCGGAGCCTGAGATCACAAATATTACGGATGGAGCAGGATCTCCGTGTTGGGTGGGCTCTGGGCGGGCAGCCAGCACCAGCAGCCACCACGCTGTTCAAGCTGCTGGACATAACACAAGCCACCGTTTGAAGAAACTGAGCTCTGGTGAACGTTTAGAAAAATTAACTACAATCATTGAGGACGTAGTATTTGCTAGGGGCTGTGTTAAATGGGTTTTTTTTTTTTTTTACGCAGGTCATTTCATTTAGTCCATTAAATCCTTCGAAGCAGAGATTCTTCATATTCTCCGTGACCTTATTTCAATTTCTCAAAAATGTGGCGTTATTCTCCATCACGAGGTCTTTTCACAAGCTGTCCCTGCTGCCTAGAAGGTTTTCCTTAGACTCTTGGCCCAGTGGCATACTGGTAAACGTTTAATAATGGGGGAGGGAGGCAGAGACAAAAACAAAACCTTATCTGTAGCACTTGGCAATTTCTTGGTATAAATATGGCCGCCATGGCCAATGTCAAGCTACGCGTGACGTCCCTAAACACAGAGCCGGGAAAGAAAGGCATCCTCGCTCATCTCATCACTAGGGCACGTTCCCACCTTATCGCAGGAACAGGCACACAGATCCTGGGGCACAGATGTAATACGGTAATTGGGAAGTGATGAGTTTTGAGAACTTATACTTGTTTTAATACAGCATATTTAATTGTATGCATGTGTAATTTAATTCTTATTCATGATTCTGCTGAATGAACAGCTTACAAAATTCCTGCAAATAGAACGATCGCTTCTCGTGTGGCCTATGGGCCAGCTCCACCCCACAGCTGCTGGCCAGTCAATGCCCAGTCTTCCTTCGGGTCCCAGTTTGATCACTTTACAGGGGAGCCCTCCACAGAGCACCCATCACGGGCTTTCACAGCACGTAACGTGCCCTACTTGGGTTGGTGAGAATTATGATTTTGTATTTAGTTGTAGGAGCCTTTGGATAATGGTTATTCTCCTCACTGGACAGGATTCTGTTTTTATCTCATCATTGTATTCGGGGTGCCTACATGTCAATGCAATGGGGGCAAAGAGGGTCAAAAAATGCCTGATTATTGAGCTGGGACATATATACTCAGGACCATCCAATTCCAGAGTTCCCTGTGAGTGTGTGTGTGTGTGTGTGTGTCTAAGTTCAGGATAGCAATTGGCAGATTAGCTGACCTACAGATTCTAAGAAATAGCTCTGGATAATTGAGTAACTGAACATCGTGATGGGGTAACATATGTGTTCTGATTTAATCTTCAATATACCCTTTGGAATTTCCCCCTCAAGACTAAGAAACTAAAAATCCTGATTAACTCAAGCAGATGATAACCAACCCCAATCCCTTGCCTGTGATCAATTAGTGGACAGGCATATGACCCTGTTCTGCCCAATGAAACATGAGGGAAATCCTGTGTGCCCACGGGAATGTTGCCTTGCTTTTACAAAGGAATATAGAAAGGATAACCATGAAGCAGTGATACAACACTCAGATTAATGACTAATTCTCTGGAGTGAGCGAGAAGGGAGAGGAATCTGATTGGAGGTGAACACACAGAAAGAGTCAGTAGTTTAAGTCATTTTTCATATGCTGACCAGTAAGTTACAGGACCATTAATTTTACTGTTCTTTAAACCTACTATGTACATTATGTGTAAGTTACATACAATTAAATAAAGCCATACGTATGTCTATGTCTATACTTGTTTACATGAAATAATTCAAAACAAAATATGAAAAAAATCCCAACACAGGAAAAAATCATCTGTTTTACCTGGACATTATCATGTCCCAGTGGGATGCTAAGAAATATGCCCACCATCTTATAAGACTAAGAAGGTGCCAAGCTGGAATCAAATCTACTCTTTCTTCCCATTTTTTTTTTTTAGCAAACATTCTTTGAGCTCCTCTCCGTCCAGCACAGTGCTAGCTGTCAGGAATACAATAGTAAGTAATATCAGGGCTTTTGATAATTAGTTTGAGCCACTGAATGAGCCAATGTTGGGATTGCTCTACCTCTGGGTAATCGGTTCTGCCAGATTTTATGTCTTACAGATGCATATGTATATGAACATTTTAAGTATCGCACACACACAAGTTTGAGTCAACTTTGCTGCTTGTACTTGAAGGCATCCTAATAGACACAAACCTTTGGAATGCAAGCAACATGAGGTCAGGGATTTTGTTGGCTTGGCTCATGAGAGATCCCCACACTCCCTGTGTTTGGTGCATAGTCATACATCATCACGTTGAAGTTTGGGGCATGTGAAAACATCCTTATGCATTACCAGGTGGGGGGACAGGGGGACCATAGCGGGCTGCAGACATTGGCCAAGTAGGAGGGATTGGAGTTTAAGAGAAACTCTCTCAGGTCTCTGGGCAAAAACAAACCCATGAGCTCCAGTAACAAGGAACAGCTTAACATTGCATGCTTCACGATTGAAAGATTGTGTGATCTCTTTCTGGGTTGGACCTAATAAAACTTTTGTCTGTTAACTAATAAGTTAACAAAATTTGACGTGTAAAACCACTTGAATTATAAATTATAAAATCATAAATAAATGAAATTGCATCAAAAAACAAAACAAAAAACAAAAAAAAAACAAAGCCCAGGCTTCAGGGAGATCCAGTGGGAGGTTCTTGGAAAGCCTGTCTGAACGGACAGGGAGGGTTTGGCAATACTTGGCCCTTTGGCCTTTATGCTTACCTGCTAGTAAGTTTCAACTGAAACTTTATTTTGCACGTCCTTACCCAGGCTCTGGGCAAATAAGCCAACACACCTGACCTTTTTTTTTTTTTAATTTTTTAAAATGTTTTATTTATTTTTGAGAGAGAGAGAGAGAGACAGCATGAGCAGGGGAGGGTCAGAGAGAGGGAAACACAGAATCCGAAGCAGGCTCCAGGCTCTGAGCTAGCTGTCAGCACAGAGCCCGATGCAGA